GGGACTGGATTAAAGGTGTGTGACATTACACCTGGCTCACTATGAATTTTATTTTGGCTTGTTGATTTCCACAAAGAATTTAGCTGGGATTTTAGTAGGTATTATACTGAATCTGTAGGCTAGTGGAGTACTGCCATTTTCATACAATTTATGGCCGTGTCTTCACTTCTCTCCATGTTATCTTTAATGTCTTTTAACAGCATGTAGAGATAGTTTCCAATGTATAGCCTTACATTTCTTTTGCTTATTCCTTTAAAAATATTTTAAGCCTTTAAAATATTAAGACTGGCCGGGTATTGGTGGCACATGCCTGTAACCCCAGCACTTGGGAGGCAGAGGCAGGCGGATCTCTGTGAGTTCAAGGCCAGCCTGGTCTACAGAGTGAGCATTTTGGACAGCCAAAGCTACACAGAGAAACCCTGTCTTGAAAAGCCAACCAACCAACCAACCAACAAAACCAAAAAAAAAAAAAAAAAAAAAAAAAAAAAAACATGGTAGGATGGAAAAGCTAATCATGGGCCCTGGAAAGGGAAGAGGAAGTGAATGTCCTAAGTGGAACAGACTAAATCCCCTGGACCAGCTAGGACCTGGTCCATAAAGACTGTGAGGTTTAGAAAGTGACCATTATCTCTTTTCATATCTCAGGCACAAAGAAGAATGCACATGGAATGACATGCCTTTTCTCTGGGCCTTCAGGGTGGATACCTGCTAGGTGACTGGGTAAATACCTTGGCAGTGGAGAAGGGTATCTTACCTCCTTGATTGTAGATATGGCTTCACCTATCAAAGGACAGAAGCTTCAATGTTTTCTTCAATTTGGTGCCTTCCAAAATCTAGATCTGCTTCTCCTGGAAGCTTTCCCTGATAGCCACCTGTTCTATTTCCTTCCAGGACCCAGAGGTGCTCTTTCTGGAATCCCCTTGTTCCTCACTCCCACCTCCTCCACCTAGGGTGAAGCAGCAACTGATGGACTTAACCCTACAAGAAAGGCAAGCATAAGTTTCCTTTCCTAGGGCACAGACTCTAGAAAATATAATGGCCTCTTGATCATGAAAACAATGGCTTATGGGGCTGGAGAGATGGCTCAGAGGTTAAGAGCAGTGGCTGCTCTTCCAGAGGTCCTGAGTTCAATTCCCAGCAACCACATGGTGGCTCATAACCATCCATAATGAGATCTGGTGGCCTCTTCTGGTGTGCAGATATACATGGAAGCAGAATGTTGTATATACAATAAATAAAATCTTTAAAAAAAAAGAAAAAGAAAACAATGGCTTATGTCTCAACAGAAGGCCCTTGTTTGCTGAATTGAAGACCTTAAGAAATGACATACAATAGAAATTTCTGTGCAGGGGTGGGAACCATGCATGGCAAAGCCATCCTGTCGTCCAGGCTGAACTCCCCAATCATCTTAGCCTTTGGCCTGACCTAATTCTTTACCAATTTGAGGGCTGGAGGGTGGTGCCAGCTTTTTCCTGCTGCCCCCTTGAGGTGGTGATGTAGGTGCAGCCAGAACTTAGACTACTCCAAAACCCTCATTCCACTTGGTGTTGTGTAAGCTGGAGTGGGAAAGGCACCTGAGAAGGAAAAACAGTGCAAAGATTCAGAGCACAAGGGCATAAATTTCCACATCCTCTAGACTGGGCACACCCAGGAACAGGGCTTTCTTTTGAGTCATTCCCACATCGCCTCCAATGCCCCTTAGGGTTTACCACCCAAAGCTGAATAGCTTCCCCTCTTATCAAGCTGCTGGAAAGATCCTAGGTCTTACTGAAGTAAATGATTAGCTTCAAGATAAAAAAACAAAAAACAACAACAACAAAAAAAAACAGGCTGTGTCTAGGAGCTGGGGTGTACCCTGTGGGGGTTGTCAGCAGAAACTCTTGGAGCCAAACAATGGAAGGAAAGGAAACCACCCAGTGGCCACTGCATTTTCTTTCAAAGCTAAGTCTGAGCAGACCTCTCCTGGCAAGGGATAAGCTGTACAGTTGTTCCCAGGATAGAAGGCAGTGTTTCTTCAAACGCTTTCCCAAATATACTTTATGTACCTGAGTACATGGGTGAAACAGGTATGAGAAGGATCAGATCTTAGAAGACTCGAGCACCAACCATAACTTGGACCCCCATCCTACAAGGGACATGACTGAACTTTGGATACCTCTCCTTGACTGTTGTGTGGGTTGGACAAGATCAGACATGTTCAGGGTGGTATGGCTATGGATATATTGTGTAGGTAGGATTTGAAGGTCTATCAATGGAATGTGGCTGATAAGGTCTGAAGTTGAGAATGTTGCTAGGTCAGATTCTAGGAATCCTGACAAATCTGACTCCAAAACAGAGAAATAGTGGAAATCAGGAAAGGAATTTTAATTAGTATGACTGACTAGGAAGACAAAGGGGGTGATGTCGTCAGCCCTGGCATTAGAGGTTCTCATAATAGCTTCCAGATTATGTAGAAAAGGGACAAAATCCAGACCAAGAAGCATGCACAGTTCATCAACTGTGGCCCAACTGTGGCCTGGTTGATCATTATCTCAGGATTGGTCTGGCAGGCCTTGTTCAGTTGCCTCCAGGTAGGGGTAGTTTTGTTCCTTGTCACAGATATTTATCTAGGGGGTCTGTTCCTGGAAACCACCAGGCTGTAAGAGAATGACTTGGTGCAAAAGAAACAGGTGCAAAATAGAGGCAGCATACCAAGCTTTTGTTCTGCCTTTTCGTTAACTCATTGCGCACCTGGAGGGCCAAGGGAAGAGTCAATGCTTTTAGCAAATTACCCTTTAAGTCTTTGTTCAACAGTGGCCAGCAGATAGAGAGGCCACTCCCTCTCACCCTGGATTCAGGGAAGGAGAAGGGTCTTGGGTGCTTGTAGAGGAGGACCAGTAGAATGCTTGCAAGAATCAGAGACACCTCACTCAGAAATGGGTGGATGGTGGCCAAAATTCTTAGAAGACCTGCTTGGCTAAAGCGTAACCCATTCCTAACTCATCTGGAAGCCCATTCAGGTGGCCATTATCTCAATGGCCATTCAGGTCCTCCCATTATTTCTAGAAAGGGGTTCCAGACTGCTGTATGTCACCCCACCAACACATACACAACAGCCTAGGTGCAGGGAGAGACCAGTGAATATAAGGCTGCTGGAGGCCTTTTGGAGCAACGTTAAGCTCGCCAGATCCAATGTGCAGGAAAGACAACTTTGGACTGCACAAGAGGTACTGTCAGGGATGGAGGACAAGGCCAGAAGGGTCTGGAAAGACAGTTCAGCAGTTAAGAGCATTTGTTGCTCTTACAGAGAACCTGGGTTCTATTCCCAGCACCCACATGATGGCACACAGCTATCCATAATGTTAGTTCCAGAGGATCCGTTGCCCTTTTCTGATCTCCACAAGAACCAGGCATGCATGTACACACAGGCAAAGCACTCATATGCATAAAATAAGTAAGTCTTTTAAAAAATCCCATAGAATCCTTGTTTTCAAGCAAGAAAACAACAAATACTACAACAGCTATCTTTTATTGAGCACCTACTTTGTGCCAGGCACTTTCCATATATCTGTGCTTACTATTACAATTACCTTGGAGGTAGGTGTCATCATCACTTTTACATAAAAAAAAAAAAAAACTCAGGCTCAGTGGGGTTAATCAGCTTATTCAAGGTCACCCAGCTGATTGACAAAGGAAGACTGGGGATATAGCTCACTGGAGAAGTGCTTGCTTAGTATGCTTGGGGCCCTGGGTTCTATCTTCAACATTGCCAACAAAAAGAAACAAAAGACTTGGCACTGGAGACAGGCATCTGTGGGAACCCTGAAGCTCAGGGCTTTTCACTCAGAGAAAGTGAAGGATTCGGGCACAGGCTTTGTTGCCAGAGCCACTGAGGGAAGAAGCTG